CATCCTTCCATCACACCTGACCCTCCCCACACCTGGGTCTTCCTCCCCTTCAGCCCAGGAATGGCCTGGCCTCACCTCATCATGTATGACTGTGAGAGTTGGACTGTAAATAAAGCTGAGTACTGAAGAATTGATGCTTTTGAACTGTGGTGTTGGAGAATACTCTTGAGAGTCCCTTGGACTGCAAGGAGATCCAACCAGTCCATCCTAAAGGAGATAAGTCCTGGGTGTTCATTGGAAGGACTGATGCTGAAGCTGAAACTTCAATACTTTGGCCACCTGATGCAAAGAGCTGACTCATCCGAAAAGACCCTGATGCTGGGAAAGATTGAAGGTGGAAGGAGAAGGGGACGACAGAGGATGAGATGGTTGGATGGCATCACCGACTTTATGGACATGGGTTTGGGTGGACTCTGGGAGATGGTGATGGACAGGGAGGCCTGGTGTGCTGCAGTCCATGGGGTCGCAAAGAGTCGGACACGACTGAGTGACTGAACTGAACTGAACACCTCCTCAGTGAGACAGAAACGGCTCAAGACAGTGGCCCCAGCTCCCAGGCTTCTGCGTCCTGTCTGTCTCCCTCTGCCTTGAAGCTGTGCCTGCCTGGACCACGTCCGCTCCCTCGAGGCTGCCCTCTGTCTGCAGCGGAGACCGGCGCCCTCCGCGCAGGAGACCCCCCACCCCAGACGGACTCCTTTCCTGCCCTGCCACCCTCCCCTTTCAGCCGTCTTCCGTAAAATCGATCGGTGAGCACAGGGCTTTGCTCTGCTCTTATGGGGTCCTCGGCATCTAGGGGTGCCCGTCCCTTCAGGGGTGCTCAGTAATAAATGTTAAGTAAGTGAATAAATAGCTGTGGACACACAAAAGGTATCCAGTTATCCACACACTGGTAAAAATGAACATCAGTTTACAAATAATCTCCAGAGAAGATGAGGTCACAATTTGACTGCAGGGGAATTTGACTGGATAGGAACACACGGGAACAGGGACATGGGAATAGACAGGAAGACATGATTTTTACCATTTTGGTTCACAGAGAAGGATTCCATCAAACAGAATTTTTTTTTTCCTCCTAGAAAATGAATGAATGAAGAAAAAGCCCAGACAGGTACTTTTCTTGTGCTATTAATTTAACTAACTGAAGTATTGGTTTCCCGGATGAAAATTTTAAAGTTATTATTTTGTTATGGCTTTTTCCTGTTGCTGCTGCTGTTGTTTCGTTGTGACCCCAGGCACTGTAGCCTGCCAGGCCCCTCTGTCCGTGAGCTCTCCCCGGCAAGAACACTGCAGTGGGGTTCCAGTTTCCTGTCCAGGGCATCTTCCCGAGCCAGGGATCAAACCCACATGGCCTACATTGCAGGTGGATTCTTTACCACTGAGCCAATCTTCTATTAATCTGTCTGTCTCACCCACAGATGTGTTGCTTTTGTGCATTAATGTGTTATACATTTACATATACATGAACAGATAAGAAAATAGTAAGACAATACCTGCTGTTAATATCTATGTGTAAATCATGCACAACTAAAGTTACAAAGAAAAAGTTTCTTTGTGACTTAAAGCCACCATACTTGTGACTCACCATCAGAACTAGATGTACCCAAAGTTAATTTTTGTCAGCAGCTACATATGCAAGTGTTTAAATACAAAAAGAGAGAATTATACAATGTCAAAACTCCCCCCAAGAATCTCCCACCTCCCACAACAGAATGCACAGCTGGGTGTGAAAATGATGGGCAACCAGCATATGATCAAAATAATAACAAAATATTCAACAGGCTTTGAAAAGCGCCAGTCTCCTGCTCAGACACAAGGTGGAATTAAGCCTGTGTCTGTCAGTTCAGATGTCCTCTTGCCTTGATTTTATAATCAGGATTTAACAGACCTGAAAGTGAGGATGGTGACTGAGCGACAGGTACCAGTCTAGTCTCCCTCCCTCCAAACCCAAGCCTGGCTTCGGGGATGGGCTGGCTCTTTAAACAGGACTGGGATCCACAGTCTCTTTAAAAATAACTCAGTTCACAACAAGGACTCGGTGTTCCTCTCCCTCCCCCACCTCTATTTTGGGACGCCAGCCCTGTTATCACGGAGCAGAATGACATTCACAGCAGGTACAACTGACACATGGAAATTTGTTGGCTCAGTGGCACTAATTGGGTATCTGTACTTGGGAGGATGATGGCTCAAGGGGGAGGTGTTTAAACCTGTGAGTTCAGAACCCCGTTTAGGGTCCATTTCCATGTAAATGAAGAGCACTCACAGCTTCTGTGCAAGGCACGTGGTAAGACATCCAAGCCAGCCCCAGACTGTTGGGAGAAGCCATGAGCAAGGAAACTCATACAGAAGAAAGCAGTTTTTTCCCTTACCTTCTGCATGCAAGATTTATGCAAGAAACTCCCATTAGCACTAATGAGACTTATGCATGTAAATCTCCCATGAAACGACAGGGGATTAGCCCCATCCATCACCGTGCAGACGTGGCTTCCAGGGAGGCTTCTAGCAGACAGACCGCCTCCCCTTAAAGTGCTGAGGCAGCAGACCTCGGCGAGGCCTGGGGAGGAGGGGTCCCCACGGAGCGGCACAGTGCGGGATTGGGGGCGGAGGGGCTGATCTGCATGAGTGGGCAGGATTCAGAGATCGCAGCAGAGCCCCCTCCTGCTCGTGACACAGCATGAGCAAAATGAGACTGATAACCCGCCTTGCACAGACGGGTTCTCTGCCCATCATAGCTCCACGCTTTCTCTCAGGAGGACAGACGACGCATTCCCAGCAGCCAGCTGTCCCCAGCGTCCTGCCTGGCTCTGCACACGCCGGGGCAAGACCTGTTGCCTCTTTCCAGGCATCACTGCTGGTGGAGGGTGCGCCTCCGCCAGGCTCCTGGGTGGAAGGGCTGTCTGATCCCCAGGACGCCTCTCCTCTCCCCCGAGTGTCCCTCTGCCCACTCCTTTCCCACGGATCCGCCTCGCGGGATGTCTGTTCTGCGCTGGGAGTGTCAGTTGTGTCCATCCACGGCCTCTGCGGGCTCTCCACGAACGCTTGGTGGATATAAACACGGACGGTGAATATCAAGCGGGGCAGGATCCCCAGGCCACGATGTGGAGAAGAAATTCACCCCCCCTAACCCCAGGAGCCTTGCCTGTCCTCCCTCCTCCTCCACCGACGAGCGTCTGTAGAAATATGCCTTCAAAGTGCACACACAGTGACACTCGTGGGCTTTGCGCCCTGTGAGTTTTCATTTCACAACACGTGCTGGGCCGCAGTTCATACAGGCTTCCACCTTCAAAACTAATTCTTAGCATTTCATTGCATGAATACAGGAAATTCATTTAAGCAGTCTTTATGGACAAAAAGTTGTGTACAAAATCACGTTCTTGCAAACAAGTCTACAACGTGTGATGAAAAACAGTCCAGTCTTCTAAACTGCCAGCTAGGTGACAAATGTCATTAGATTCATCCAGTCCTGCCCACCATGCCCCAAGGTGAATGCGGTGCAATCATGCCTGACGTCCAGAGGGAGACAGATACTCCAGAGACTGTAGCTTGTCCAAGGTCAAGCTTGGACTGGATCCCTCGGGCACTGCCCCACTGCAGCGTCACACACACACAGCTCCTGAGCGTGACTGTGCGCCAAGTCCACAGACGTGGAAGCGCTAACACGAAGGCAAGGACCTTGCTAAGTGTACGGATGTTGCTATTGTCTCTAACCCATGCTCCTCTGCACTGCTGGAGCGTGGCTGGCGTGTGCGATGCCATGACCCTGTGACTCTGTCACGTGGGCGATACTCATGAAGCTGAACATCTTTTCCAACGGAAAAGCCACTTGCATCTTCTCTGAAATATCTTCCCATATCCTTCCCAGGTGTAGTTAATAATTGCCAAATTTAGTGTGCTAGTAGGTCACCGTCTGCCTGTCACTGCTCGGTTCTAATGGGCTTGTTCCTTGTTTGTTTGTTTATTAATGCAACCTTAAAATAAGGCATGCACTACAATTTCCATCTTTTGAAAGTGATTTTGATTAGGGAAGATTTACTCATTTAACTTCTAGATTATCTGTGTTTAAATTTAACACCACTTTCAAGACTGGAATGCATTCTTCACTATGCTTCGGCAAGTGTCTGTTAATTCCCACGCATGAATTTTACATTGGATTTAAATTGTGCATGAAAGCCACCCATGAGATAAGGGCTAACATGATTTTTATTCTGGTCAAATGAGAACATGTCCACCAGGCAGAAGAAAATGATACAAGAGAGGATAGTTGTATTTCCTCCCCCAAAGAAAAAATATGTAAACCTCCAGTGGCCATTCTAGAACCTTCTCTGGGATGTGGCTACTTGAAAACCCCCTTCTAGGTGTGAGAAGGAAGCCGAACGTCACTCAACAGTCCTCCTTCAGCACACACTACACAAGGCTTAGGCCACTGCATTGAGTTACGAGTTTCCATTGTCTGGCAGGAAATTTTAAAGCTCAGCATACTACTTCTTTGTGAAAACATAAATTCCACTAACTCCATATAGAAGGGACTGTTGATATTAGCAGACTCAGAGGTTTAATGATACAACCTCTTCCATTGAAGATGTTGCCAGTTGTTTAAGCAGACTGTGTCTTTCCAAACATACAAAGGATGGTAGAGCTTTATAAATAAAATGGTGAACAAACGTTCAGACCCAAGGAGAGGGTGTGAACTGTTATTAGGAAGGAAATATGAAGATTAAAACAAAGTCTGCATTTAGCTTCGACCAGCCCCTGCAGGGCTGAGGAGTGCCCCCAGCACCCTGGGGTGTGGTGGACACGGACTCTGAGTGTGCGGAGGGCATGGCCATGCAGTACATGCCGCACCCGCTCTGGGGGCGCTTCGACTTTTGGGGTGTTTTGGGAAATTTATAACATACAGTTTGATGTCCAAGACTCCTGGGGCCGGGACCCCCCGGGTCCCTTTAGCCTGCTCCCCCTGCAGACAGTTCCGAGTGGCCCTGTGAGGTCGGGCTGGCCTGCCCAGCATGAGGGCACCATCAGCAAAGCCCTGGGCTCCCTGGGCACCTCTGGCTTCTGAGGTTTCCCAGGTTCAGCTCCAGGGAAACGGGAGGCAGGGCATCCTGACTCTGCAACTCTCGTGTGGAAGAGCATGCCGCCCTGAAGTGCTCACGGGCCTGTGGGGGCTCAGGCGCCCCCGGTCACAGTCAGGAGGCGCGTGGGGTCACGGCTGCAGGTTGCAGGCCGACCTCACTCCCGGCAGCAGGACCACCGTGGAGCCCGGACGCACTCCCTGGGTGACCCCGGGCCTGCAGGGGGATTTGGGGGTCCCCGTCACCCCCACCCGTGTGGCCTCGCCTGCTCCCCACCCCGGCTCAAAGCAAACGCCCACGGCCTGAGGTGGCTTCTCTCTGCTGGGAGGAGAGGACTGTCAGATCAGACGCTCCGTCACAGTCTGGGGTGAGGGAGTAATTAGTCACTTCTCCCTGCTTTCCAAGACGGCGGTGGCCCCGGACGCTGAGTCAAGTCACGGGAGAGCAGATTTCCACCTTTGCCGAAATTCCAGAAAAAACAACGCCCTTTTATTTCTTTTTCACTGTCTGTAGTACCTTATAACATCACATTTAATAAAGATTGTTATAATGGCAGATAAAAAAGTCATAAAGATGATTTAAGCAATACTGATGAACCACTATGAAAATGATCAAAAGCATTATGCGGTGAGCTAGGGATGATCTTGACCAAACACAATTGGAAATTATTGGACAGTTTTCTGGGAAGGGTTTACAAAAGCGGTGAACTCTGAGTCATATTAACAGCACAGCCTGTTAGGCAAAACTGTGTGATTTAGTGGCAACCCAGCAGTTTTACAAATTCTTGGTGTGCAAGCTTGTACACACACGATACATGCACACACAGGTAATACCGTTGTGAGTATATGCGGAGTGGACACAAGGGTAGTCGTGTGTGATGTTTGCACAGGGCTTCGGGGACACGGCGGGAAGGCTGGTCTCAGCTCTTAGGTCAGAAGCCGAATCACCCACCTAAGCTTGAATCCCACCTGGCCATTTATTGTGCAATGTTGGACACTTTATTTCTCTATACATTCGTTTGCTCTGATAGAAATTATGGATAAGAATCTGGATGGAAGAGGAACACAGGTGTTTCAAGGACTGAACGGATGTGGTGAGAGGTACTTTGAAAGCAGAGCTTGGTACTTCTGTCCAGTCACTCACTCACGTTTGACTCTGTGGCCCCACGGACTGCAGGACACTAGGCTTCCCCGTCCTTCAGTATCTTCCTCAGTTTGCTCACACTCATGTCCATCGAGTCGGTGATGCCATCCAACTATCTCAACCTCTGTCGTCCCCTTCTCCTCCCACCTTCAATCCTTCCCAGCATCAGGGTCTCTTCCAATGAGTCAGTTCACCTCAGGTGGACAAAGTAGTGGAGCTTCTGTTTCAGCATCTGTCCTTCCAACAAATATTCAAGACTGATTTTCTTTAGGATCGACTGGTTGGCTCTCCTTGCAGTCCAAGGGACTCTCAAGAGTCTTCTCCAACACCACAGTTCAAAAGCATCAATTCTTTGGCACTCAGCTTTCTTTATGGTACAACTCTCACATCCGTACATGACCACTGGAAAAACCATAGTTTTGACTATATGGATCTTTAAAGTTGGCAAAATATGTCTGCTTTTTAATATGCTGTCTAGGTTTTTCACAGCTTTTCTTCCACGGAGCAAGTGTCTTTTAATTCCATGGCTGCAGTCACCATCCACAGTGATTTTAGAGCCCAAGAAAATAAAGTCTGTCACTGTTTCCATTGTTTCCCCATCTATTTGCCATGAAGTGATGGGACCGGATGCCATGGTCTTAGTTTTATGAATGTTGAGTTTTAAGTCAGCTTTTTCACTCTCCTGCTTCCCCTTCATCAAGAGGCTCTTTAGTTTCTTTTCAGTTTCTGCACTTGGCTGATGTCATGAGGGTGGAGTTTGGTTCTAGCGGACACGTAAGGACCCCTTGGGCCTTCGCAGGTGGCTCAGTGTAAAGAATACTGCCAGTGCAGGAGATGCGGTTTCCATTCCTGGGTCCGGAAGATCCGCTGCAGGAGGAAATGGCAGCCCTCCTAGTATTCTTGCTTGGAAAATCCCATGGACAGAGAAGCCTAGTGGACCACAGTCCACGGGGTTGCAAAGAGCTGGACACGGCTGGGCGCGCACATACAGTGAGCCCTTAGCACTCATCACCAGTGTTTGCCGTCTACAGTGCTGTCATGGGCTCCAGTGCACTCGCTCGAGCCCTTTATCCCTATTCCACAGAAAAAGAAAGTAAGACTTTGAAGGGATTTGCCCAGAGGAATACAAATGTTAATCGGCAGGGCTAGGATGAAACTAGTAGTATTTGTCAGCTGTTTTAAAGAAATCCGCATCAAAGGGTCGGAGAGCAGAGACATATGAAGCCAGAGCGATTTCAGCAGATTCCTCCTGGATGAGCGGCACACTTTTCTTTAAAGTAGGCACCATTCGGAACACAATTCATGGAGTTTGTTTTTGGGAAGTAGATATTGATTTCATTTTGAGTGACATCTTTAGCATGGACATTAGCTGGGAGTGAGATCTCCTCCTTGGGCCCTGGCTCAGAGGAAACTCGGTTTCCTGGAGCACCAGCTGTGGGCAGCCACAGGGGCCCAGCTCGCAACCGTGGTGGCTAATTGGGACACATGGACAGAAAATGCCCGAAATCTAAACCTGCGGCACTTTCACTTCTCCCATAACGGCAAGCCCCAGACTCCTTCTTGACTGGGGATGCCCAGGGAATCTGGGGCTGTGGACAGGATGTAAGTCCATGGGGTACTGGGGGGTCACTGCCAGCTGAGCGAGGGTGATGGTTCCATGGGCTGTTACCCTGCACCCTTCTGACTCTGAGCTGTAACCTAAAGAGGAGAACCAATCCATTGCTCAAACAACTGCAAGGCAGCAGATGATAAGAATGTGCTGGTTCGGCACGTTCAGCAGGTGATGGCCGAATGTGATCACGCTGGGCGTTGGAGGTGGAAAGGGTGGTAGGCAGAGTGAGAGCAACTAGCCGTCAGCCTCTGGGATGAAGAGCCCCGGGTCGGACCATTCTGGAGGTTCCCTCCCAAAGGACCAGGGGATGGAGCCATCCCACATTCTCTCCCGTGGACTGCAGAAGTCACATCTGTTTCACCAACACCAAACACAAGCCAGGAGGAATCGAATCCTTTGTCCAAACAAGCAGCTGCACCTGCCGCGTGCCCAGCATCCGTTCCTGTGCCTTGACTTCATCTCTGGTTTTGTGTTTTTCTCCTGCAGAGAAGGTCACTCCCAATTCATCCGTCTAATGACTTAACCTTGCAAGACCCAATTCTGGGGTCACATCCTCTGCAAAGACATTTTTCCCATCTGTAATCAGAGTGAAGATCTTTTTTTCATCCTCCTAAATCATCTTCCCCAGGTCTCTGGTTGCCCTGAGAAGTGACTGAGCTCCTCACAGGGGCTGGAGCAGAGATGACCAGGCTCTGCCCTGCCCCAGAGGAAGGAGTTTCAGGCCTGTTTACCGTGGTCCTTACCATGGGGACCCTCTGGGGACTGTGACCATGCCTCATTTGTCTTATATCTCCTGAGCCTAGAAGGTTTCTTGGCACAAAATACTCAACATTGTTGAAAAAATGGGGAACTTGTGAAAACAGTGATTCATACATAATTACCCCTTGGTGCCTGAGACAGAAAGGGTAGTTATGAGAAAACCCTTTCCTTTGCATCCTTGTTCGTCATGTCTACTCTACTGCCAACTTCTGAAATACTTCCAGTGGGCTTGGAAATAGACCTGCATTAGTGATTGAAATGGAAAGGCTCCTTGGAATTAGCGATTTGTGTAAAATGTAGATCTCTGAACAAAACTCCTTTCTATCCCATCACTGGCCACCCACATCTGGTGTCTGTATGGTCTTGGCTACTTACTAATTGCATCTTCTTAGCAGAATCGCTTACACTCTCTGATCTCGCCTTTACTGAGCTCTGAAGTGGGAAGGATAATCACTCAGACTTGCAGAGTTTGGGAGGAATTTAGTGCTTGCCGGGTGCTGATGTATAGGGTTGGGCCCAATCAGTGGTAGGTTTTGTTGTGTCAAAAATGACACAGGAGGGGCATTAATCACACATCCAAATGCACTGCAACTCTCCACACTGTTAGCATTACCATGGTCTTGAGTGGTGCCCCATCATGCCTAAGTTTTGTATCTTCTAGACTCTAATTATGAATAAACAGCCTCTGAATGCCAGAAAGCTTACCCTGATGAAGAGACCAGGTGGAATATTCCATGACATTGGGTGGTTATCTACTAAGGAACTACTGATTTCAAAATTCTGAGTTTTAAGAAATTTAACAGAAACTGTCTCTTCATTCTCAGTGCAGATTTGTATAAAACTTTATATTCCTCATTCCTATATAATTGCTTATTGTTTCCAGACCAGGATCAGAAAAAAGAAAAGAAAATCTTAATTTTTTTTAAACTGAAAAGACATGTATTTACGGTAATGTTTCATGTTCAAATTGGATAGGAAAATTCACTACCATAAAGTATGAAATCCTCTATTTCTGTCTGATTAAGAAACTTGGCCATGCAATTTATAGTTTCAAAACAATCAAAAGTCCAATGTCACTGTTTCGCAGAAGTAGAAAGATCCATCCTACAATTCATGTGGACTCTCCAGGAACCCCTAAATAGCCAACACAATCTTGAAAAAGAAGAAAAAATTTGGAAGCTTCATATTTCCTGATTTCAAAACTTACTACAAACTTACAGTAACCAAAATAGTGTTGGTACCGGCATAAAGACACATATAGGACAATGGAATAGGATAGACAGCCTATGAATAAACCATCTTACGTGGTCAAAGGATTCTTGATAAGGGTGTCAAGACCACCCAAGGGGAAAAGGGCAGTCTTTTCAACAAGTGGTCATGGGAAAACTGGATATTTACATGCAGAAGAATGACACCGGACCCTTACCTTACCCCACATACAAAAAGTCACTCCATATGGGTCAGAACTCAGAACCAGACATAGGAGCTAAAACTATACAGCTCTGAGAAGAAATTACATAGGAAAATCTTCATGATATTAGACTAGGCAATGATTTCTTGGATACGAGACGAAAAAACACAGAACAAAAGAAAGATAAATTGGACTATGTTGAAATTAAAACTTTTGGATATCAGAGGACACTACCAACCAAATGCCAAGGCAAAGTACAGAATGGGAAAAAATATTTGCAAACCATTTATCTAATAAGGGCTTAAAATCCAGAATATATAAATAACTCTTATAACTCAATGATAACTACAAAGCTATCTGATTAAGACAAGAAACTTCAAT